CTAATATTTACTCATAAAATAAAGAAATTTTTTGTTGAATATATGATTTTCAAGATTTTCCTAACATTTCTTGTTAAAACCTTTCTAAAAATAAAATCATATATATAAATTTTAAAACTCATATTTTGTTTCATTAATGTTGATATCCATGATTGTGTTCTCTCATTTACCAATTTATATAAATAATTTGGATTGAGATGGTTGTAAGTTGTATAAAATCTTATCGTTTCATCTTGAGATCAATGGGTTGAAACTTTTAATGCGATTAATGCGATTGAACGAGATTAATGCGAAGAAAGGGGATTGAATACGGGGAAAGGATATTTCAATGGGTTGAAACTTTTAAAAAGAATTTCCGTTTTGCCCTTTCTTGGATAAAACAATAATAATTTTTTTTGCTTTACTAAAATAACTCTTTAATAATGGCATTTGATCATGAAAAATGGATTGATGTGATTGGTTTGTAGGGTTTGTACAAAAAGGAGTAGTTTGTATTTGATCGCTCATATATATATATATATATGCATACACACACACACACATACACCCTTCCCCTTCCTGACAACCCTCCCCCTCAATAAAAACATTGGCAGTTATTAAACCCTAAACCCAAAGTTAAAAAAACGATCTTCCTTACATTCTTCTCCTTACGTTTGCTCTGGGTGATAAACAAACCCATTCAATACAAAGATCGACTTACTCGACACATAGTCGATTTGGATCTGATTTGATTCGATCTCAGTTTGATTTATGAATTTTGTTGGTCCGAACGAAGTTTTCTCCACCCTCTACTTATAAAACGTACTTCTAAAAGTTTTCTTATTGAACTTTTTTCAAAATCATCTTATATATCGATTTTACAAATAAGTTACCAAGTGTTGAATATTAGGTATTAGTTATTAAGATAATTCTTAAAGTGACATACAACGACTCAAATTGCATCATAATGATTAATGTAATTGTTAAACTAAAATTAATACCATTTTTTTCTTCATCAATCATAAAATGGATACATCGATTGATTTTGTTTTCCTTCATCAAATCAATTTCATACATAGATCGATTTCGTTTTCATTCATCAAATCAATATTATTCATTGATCGATTTCTTTTTCTTCATCAACCATCAAATTGATTTCATACATCGATTGATTTTGTATCCTTTATTTGATCGGTTGATTTTTTTCTTTATCTAAGATTGATCGATTTATTTCACTGATTGAATAAATTGACTGTCAATTTCGAGTTTCTTTCGATTCAGATCTGGTTTTATTCCGTCGAATCATCAGATTTTTCACATTCTTTGTCTTTAAATATGGCAGCACCTTCCACAACTTCAACGATTCTTGATATTGACAGTCCGTATTTCCTATATTATTCTGATAACCATGGGTTAGTACTGGTATCACAAACCCTAACTGAAGAAAATTATGCTTCCTGGAGTTGTGCTATGGAGATAGCGATGTCAGTAAAGAACAAACTTGCTTTCGTAGATGGAACACTTCCAAGGCCCGGTGCTTAAAATGAAGTTAAATTGAAATCATGGATTCGAAATAACAACATTGTTATTTCTTGGATTCTAAATCCGTTTTAAAAAGAGATCTCAGTAAGTGTTATATACTCAAAATCAACTTATCAAATCTGGAAAGACTTGAAAGAAAGATTTTAGTAGAGTAATGGGCCATGGATATTCCATATTGAGTGTGATTTGATGAATTTTACACAACAACAAGCCACAGTGAGTGTGTATTTCACTACATGGTTGTTTAGTTAGAAGAGCATCCCAAGCAGATTCACTAAATGCCTTCAGTTGTTTCAACTAGTGGGCTGATAAAAATAATCCTTGTTCTGGATTGAGCTTCAAGAACCATAACAAATAGATGACAACCTGCATATGAGGAGTACGAGGGCTAGTGATGTTATTGACTGAGTCGATGAACCTCATAAGCAATATATGGCCTTGTAATCGTAAGATACATCAAGCATCCAATTAGTCTCCGATACTTGGTTGGATCATCAAGTAAATCTCCCGTGAAATTAGTGAGCTTGGACTTAGTATCCATGGATAAGAGTAGTTTTGGTTGCTAACAAACCCGTGTCTTCAAGTAACTCAAGTGCATATTGTCGTTGAGAAAGAAATATGCTAGACTTGGATCTAGCCACTTCAAGACCAAAAAAATGATTCAATTGGCCTAAATCCCTAAGCCTAAATTGAGTACTGAGATATAACTTAATTGCATTAATTTCATCCAAAGAAGCCCTTGTAATGACAATATCATCCGCGTAGACAAAAAAGGCAACATAGTAAGAGCTAGATCCTTTATAGAATAGAGAATAATATGCTTTCGACTAAGTAAAGCCATTAGAGACGAGAAAACCAAAGAACTTTGAATACCATTGTCCAAAAGCTTGTTGTAGTTCATACAATGATTTATGCAATTTACATACCATTGGAACGGATGAAGAGCTCACGCCCTAAAATTTATACCCTTGGACATCTCCATATACACATCTTCATCAAGATCATCATTTAAAACCACGTTATTAACATCTGATTGTAATAGAGCCAAGATTTATGTGCTTCTAATGCAAGCATTACCTTGAATGACAAGCTTGGCAACTGGAGAATATGTATCAAGAAAATCAACTCCATACTGTTGATTGAACCCATTGTGCCACCAATCTTATACTGTTCAATTGAACTGTCGACCTTCCTTTTAATCATATAAACCTACTTACATCCAAGTGATTTTCTATTAGCCGGAAGAGGCATCATACTCCATGTCTTGTTAATCTCCAGGGCTTACAACTCATCACACATGGCATCTTGCCATTCTTTATAATATGCTGCTTTATTGCATGTCTTAGGTTCATATTGTGTTGATAAAGATAAAACATATGTTTTGTGCTTTTGCCAACAACATGTGATAAGACAAGAAGTCTGAAAAGGATATCGATAAGACGAATTAGTATTATCATACATCAAGTTTCAATGATAATCTCACAAATAAGATGGCAAACTATGAACCCTGTTAGACCTCTTGGCAGTCGGATCATTAGTAGAAATTGGTTGTAATAGGAAATATAGTCAACTGTTGAATTTCATTCGTGACATGGTTCTTGCTCACACTATAAAGTTGATGCCCGTTTGAAGTCAATTTCAGCTCGTGAACATATTCACTAAACCTTTACCTCGGTCTAAGATGTTACCTATTACTTCCAAGATGGCTCTTCAAGGCGTCTTCACGAGTCCATCTTGATGGGGCATATTAGAACTCTATTAATGATAGGTCTGATTGGTTGATTAGTTTATTATTAACTAGCTAACTCTATATATAAATATGACATTTGTTTTTTGGGTAATACACCACTGAAACACTTGCGTCTCCAATTTTTGTCTGATTACAATACAAACTGAACCTTAAATAATGGTTGAAAATGTAGAATGCTAGTTCCAATCTGACCTCCTCTCTTTCCCCATGCTTTATTGCATTTGCAACTACTTGGAGGCAATGTTTTAAACGGTTGGCCCATGACTATCGTCGGACATCATGACTCAAGACTCATGTTTGACGAGTTGATGCCATGTTTATGTGACACGCCATGGCCCAATGCGCTATTCTTGTATCACAATATTGATTTTTCTTACATTTTCAATGTCTTAGTTACTTTTTAGTTTAAAATATATAACTTAAATTAAATTGTTTAATATTATTGACAAATTATTATTTTTAGCTAAAACATGTGTGTGTGTATAATTATATAAATGATACACATATTTATCATCATAAGTCATACCTTGAAAAAATCGTGACCTTGCGATGCTAACTCCTATGATTTTGCTTGACCTTGTCGCATATCATGCCTCACGTCATTTAGAACCTTGTCAAATTGATATAAAATACTATAAATGGGTTGAGTTTTAGTGAGAAGGAGAGTTAAAGTGAGAACCGTAAAAAGAGATCTCCACCCTAGGATGCACATTAGGATGAGAAACACTGAACCTATCCCCATATTAAACACAATTCATGAGTGAATTTGATATTAAATGTGATCAAGAGTCCAAATGTCTCCTTACGTTTATCACCTTAATTTTCTTTCTCACATGATCCTTCGACTTCTATAAATATCCGAATATATCTTGTACGGAATTTTTTGTTCTTGTATAATTAAACATATTAATTTGATAACCACAAGGGTGGTGGCTGATTGGTTTGAGCTTGGCTCCAAAGGTCAAAAGTTTCGGGAGGTCCCAGGTTCAAATTCAAGGAGGAATAAAAATCCCCTTGTGGCCACGATGGTTCAAATGCAGTGACTCCGAACTATCTGCAAAACAGGTGGTTGCCCTGAAATTAGTTGGCTTGCATAGCAGGTTGGATTAATAAAAAAAACATATTCATTTGATTAAAATTAGAAATTAAATATAGCCAAAGTGGATGAAGATGGTGGGCCTGGGCTCACTTTCACTTTTTAATTTCTGTAAACAAGCCCATTTAGTCTGTGAGGCCTTGTCGACCTAATTCACCTTCACCCAACTCTCCCATGTCGATTACATCCGTGATCTTCCCGTGTCCGACTGTACTTGCGACACTGTGACTGCCGCTGTGCCGCTGTCCCGCTGTGAAACTGTCTGCTGAAGCACTGAACCGCCATTGTTCATTATTTGACGTCACTTTAACGCCGCTGCTTCGATACATTGACTAGCCCGCCGGCAACTTAAACGCCATTTCTCTCTCCCTTTAGCGACAAGCGTCAGCACCGTCTCCGTTGCCGTTGTGTCCATTTCTCGTTCCGATCGCTCTATTCATAACTCAACAGGTATTGTCGAGCTTGCTTCTTGTTGTAGTACCCTTTTCAATGTTTTTGGTTTGGAGAAATCATGGTATCCAGATAACCTGAAATTTTGAGAGCTAATTTAGAGTTTAAATTTGTGAAATAGCTGATTTAGAGTTTAAAAATCGAGACGTGGGAAACTTTTTTTCAAAAATGCATAGCGGAGTGTAGACCCTACAAGCAGGCCGGCCATGGGGACGACGGGTCCAGGACAGCAGAACGACCAAGGGCATCACCTGCTTAAGGCCCGTTTGTCTTTGGGTAGGATCAGTTTTGGGGATATAAAAATGTTAACGTACGCTGCCCTACCTTATGCCCAAGTCCGTCTGAACTCTGACGTCTCTCTCTCTCGGCCTCGCCTCGCTTCACTTTCACAATTGAGCTGACTCTCGAGTTGTTCTGAACCAAGTGATACCCAGCAACTCTCTCGACTGTCGCCCTCTCCAAATCTGGCTCACGAAAGTCTTTCACTCTCTCTTGTCTCTTAATCTACTTGCCCTCTTCTCTCGAACTCCAAGTCTCTGGCTCTCTTAGTCTTAAGCAACCGATTTAGACTTTTGGTAAATTTCTAAATTCTAATGAGTAATGTTTATTCCTTTCACTGTTTTGTAGATTAAAGATGTTTCTAATTTGTTCTATTATTTGGATTGTTGTCTACTTGTCTTGTTCATTTTTGATAGTTAGATGATTAGTTAAGTTTACTAACGTGTCTATCTTGGTTTCTCATTGGTATTTGCTTTGTGCTTGAGGTTTGATTTGTTGCTCATTGTGTGTAATATTACCAAGATTGATGATGCCCTCCAACTGGTCGATGAAATGCCACGACCATAAACTCTGTGATATTCTTGTTATATTAATTTAAGAGACCGAAAGATTGGTTACATAGTTTGATTCTTGATCTAAAGAGTACTGATTTTGTTTGTTTTCTATGCGTTATGTGGCATTAAGTCCTAGGGATAGTAATTACAATATATCAAGGTCAATATAAGGAAGCCTACAAAAGAATGGAAGTAAGGTTGTTGTGTTGTAGTTACTCAAGATATTGCTGCAAAATGGGCTGTTTTTTGAACCGGTGAAAGGTAATTCTTGTCGTTAAAATTGTCTGGTATCATGACCATATTCTTCCATGCTCGATGGCTTTTTAGGACCTTTGATTTTTAGAGGAAATCTTGTTAGGGATTTAGGGTTCATCACAAATTAGAACACGCCAACTTTTTAGAATTGAGTGGTGTACATTTTGCTTAAAGCATTAGCTATTACTTAGTACACGAAACAAAGTTATAAACATAATCAACCATATCTCTTTCATAGCATGTTGACATATTCTATTAGATGCATCATTCAGAATCTATTAGTAATTACATTGTTTTAATTTCGTTCAATAAGTATATGACAATGTCAATTTGCATAAATCTCGTGGTTTCTCTACATAATGAGTTGTTTGTCAAATTGATTTCATAAACACTAATTCCCATATCATGTTAAACATGTTGTCTAGATTTCTAGCTTACACATCAAGTTGTCTAATGTATTCCCAAATATTTCTTATAATCTTTAGTCATGTGCATTAATGTACAAGCTATATCTGCAGTCCTTTAAATCACTCATTTTTCCACATATCTAGTAATTTATTGCATATTTGTGTTGATTGAAAATATTGACATTTGAAAAATGATCCGTAAGTGGCCCATGTTGAGCGGTGACTAGTGTGGTTTCTTTCATTTGAAAGCTCACGTTTCACCGGTAAATCCTTGTCCCTTCGAAATATAGTGTCTTGTTTGTTGGGGCATCTTTTAGATTTTTCGCCCCGAGCATGAAAAACCTTAGGACCGGCCTTGCCCACAAGGCAATAAAGTGCTTAGCTTGAATGCTATCTGGCCTCATGGTGGCAATGTCTAGGGTGCCAATTTCTTTTCGCTTTTGCTGTTTAACATAAACAAGTTTAGACATTGCGAAGTACCTTAATAAGGAATAAGATTAAAGGATATGAGGCGTTGGGATAGGCATGGAATGCACAATACCCATGTTACAGAGCCCCTGAGATTGAAATTTCACTTGAAGTAATGGAACTAATGTATCTCTTATTGTGGAAATAGAATTGCTGAAAGACAAACAAATGGCTTTCGTTCTTGAAGTGCCGGTAAATCTACTTGGACGACACCAAAATCTTGTTTCATTCTCTAGCAGTAGAAGACCGTCAAACTTTATTAATTTTACCAGAAAACAAAGGTGTAAATTGTCAATGAGCTCAACAATTCAGAGCCTCGATGAGAAGCATTTGGATCCTGCAAACGATCTTGCTCTACCGATCATGGTACTTTACTCTCCTTCCAAAGGTGCACGCTTTAATTGCTGATTTGTATTATTATTCTACCAACTCAATTCTTTTAATTTATAAATTTTCTTTAGGTCAATAGTTGTACGGGCAAAATGGGCCAGGCAGTTATTGAAGCCGGAATATCTGCAGGGCTTCATATTGTTCCAGCATCATTTGGCATTCAACAAGATGCTGGGAAAACGATTCAAGTCGGAGGGAAAGATATTCAAGTGCACGGTCCCTCTGATAGAGAGACCACTCTATCATCTCTTGTCGAAGAATATCCAAATCTGATCATTGTGGACTTCACAGTACCTAATGCTGTGAATGGTAAATATGTAATTTTGTAATACAGAGATGTTCAATTATCTACATTAGCATATTAGTTTATTGCTTCCACCATAATATCGATGCAGATAATGCTGAATTATATTGCAAAACTGGAGTTCCTTTCGTGATGGGAACCACCGGTGGAGACAGGGATCTTCTGTATAAAACTGTTGAAGACTCAAAGGTTTATGCTGTGATCTCTCCTCAAATGGGAAAACAGGTGAATATTGTTTGTGGTATCATTTGTTGAATATGTTAGTTGCTTTATCTTTCAGGATGTTTAAGTCTCCTTGTCACTTGATTTCCTTAGGTTGTGGCATTCCTTGCAGCCATGGAAATTATGGCCAAGCAATTTCCTGGAGCATTCTCTGGATATACACTAGAGGTATTTGTCTCCATCTGCTCTACTGATGCCAGTAGTTTCTGATTGGTAGTTTTGTTTAGTATAGTTGGTTGTAGATGTATATCTTTGACTTTGGACACAAATTGCACAATTTCATTCTTAATTTTCTTGAAGCATCATTCCTTACTTTGTTAATGGCACAATGTTATAAATAGATGCTCTAATTCCAATGTGGTCCAAACAAATTGAGTGACATGCATTTATGTTATGCCCTTACCTTCCCAAACTGATTGACCTTTTGGACGTTGTGATAATGGAAAGTGATATATCAAGGCTGTTCTTTTTGGTGCAAATGATAAACATTTTGGAAACACTAGTCTGGACTGTGCTCCCTTTATAGGATTGATCATGGTTTATGCTTTCGAAAATAATAGCAAAAGAGCACCAGTGACCAAGTTAGACATCGTAAGCTACAGGTTATGACAACTTGCTAACATGTATGACGGGTTTAGTGCACTTTCTATTTTTGATCCCCTTGAAGTTTAGTTTTTGTAATGACCATATACTTTGGTTAAAAACAAGTAAGCATGTCATCGTGAACATCTTGGTTCAAAAATGCGCGCATAATGCGTTGTGATGCGCGATGCGCTGAAGAAAACGCATCAAAGGGTCTGATGCGTTGCGTTTCCATGATGCGCTCGCATCACCTACGCATCACATGATGCGTGCATCACCTTTGCATCAGTGCATCATGTATGTTGCATTTTTGGGCTCCCTTTTTCAGTTTTTAGTTGGGCTTCTTAGTTAATTAAAATAGAACATGAGACTGTGAGAGACCTAATAAAAGAAGCCGACAGCGAAGATGATGAAGTTGACGTGGAAGCAGATATTGGAGGGTTTGATAATGATGAGGGAGATGAACCCGTGTTGGGGTTTGATGATGCTGATCTTGGGGAGTATTAGTTGGTCATTTAGTTTAGGGATTGGGGACTATTAGACATTTACTTGTGTTCTTCATGGTAGTAGTTTGTGTGTTATGTACTTCTGTTATTCCGATTCACGAACTTTTTAAGATTCGAATGCCACTTTTTAAACTACTTTATGTTATAAATGAAGTATTTTGATAGGTAAATATTTTTAAGGTAGAAATTGATATGTAAAATTAATTTATAAATATTTTTTGAATACCGTGATGCGCGCGCATTAGCATCACGCATCGGCTTCCGGGACCCTTAACACATCGGACCGCATCGCGCTTTTTAAAACCAAGGTGAACATTATGATTGTTTTTTTGTGACCAGGTGTGAAACTGTTAATATGGTTTCTTTAAAAGAAAAAAATGAAACCTCTATTAAAGGAGAGCAAGATTGTGATTACTTTGGCCAGTTTTTTTACGGTCTTTAAAGTCTTTTTGATGGTGGCTTCTGTTTGACTTCTTTTTTCTGGATAGTGTGTGACTAAGGTGTTTGTTTGTTTTTTAATGAAGCCTGTGTGTATTTAACTGTTCGTATGTATTAAATCATGTGCAAGGTTCAAAATGGCATGAGGCGTGGCGGCGAGCTCAAGCCTTAAGTCTTACACGCCACGGCAAGGCGTGAGGCGTGGCGGCGAGCTCAAGCCTTAAGTCTTACACGCCACGGCAAGGCGTGAGGCGTGGCGGCGAGCTCAAGCCTTAAGTCTTACACGCCAAGGCAAGGACATGGCGTTTTTAAGACGTGAGATAAGGCGGCAAATTTATGTGTCATATATATATATATGATTATATGTATACGCATATATGTTTTCTATTTCTTATTCAATAATATAATGATATTAAAGTTTTTCCTTCATATTACTATATTAAAAGAAGAAAAATCATATATATATTAACTAGATTTTTATAAAACGTTTGTGATCAAATATTCAAAATAGATCTTGGAAGGGTTTTACAACTTCGTGTTAACTGCGAGTCCGTGACATGTGTGAATCCAAGAACTATGAGTGATGTGATTAGCTAAGTTTGTAAAAATATAAAATATAAAGTTAAAAGTATAAAATCACAGAAGTTAAAAAAATTAAATTTAAAAAAAATTAAATTTAAAAAAAATTAAAATATCATGCCCAAGTAAAAGAGGCTTGCCACAGCACACCATGGCCCATGGCTTGACACGCCTTACACAAACGCTACAAGCCTTGTCGTTACGATGGAGACATGTTTTACGCCGGCGCACCTTTTTGAACACTGGTCATATGTATTGATTTAGATAAATTGTTGTTTATTTTTGTGCTGAATAAATGTCTGAAAATAAAATGACCATTTTACCCTCGTTATGTAATTAATGTTAACCCACAACATGCCATAATGAAAATTACGATGTGCATCAAAGGAATTCCAAGAAAGAATGCAAACACGATAAAGACCGTGATGGTCTTACTTGAATTCTAGAAAAACATGTAATAATAGGATAATGATGATTCCTAAAGTACATGTTAGATACCAAGGTACAACAATCAGCACACATGTTACAACATGATGAAGATGCAGAACAAATATATTAGTGTTTGAATTGAAGAAAAACACAGCAGTATAAAGATGTAGCAAGGAACAATGAACCCAAAATGCTGAACCAAATACAAGCTACACAGCAGAGGTACAACTAATGCAAAGGGTGCAGCATGATCAAGATACAAAACAAAGCATATAACACAAATCAGAATCAACATACTTAGAGGGCGGTGGTACTTTTGGTACTATAATGGACAAGGCATCCATCCTGAGAGACACGATCGAGTACGTGAAGCAGTTGCATAAGAAGATTCAAGACCTGGAGGCTGGAGGCGTTGGATAGCTCGAAGATGTTGGAGAAGAGGAGCAGCAGGCATTGGATCTCTCTGAGTAGCAGAGAGCAGCAGGCGTTGGATCTTTCTGAGTAGCAGAGAGCAGTGATGGATCAAGGGGGCAAATCTGATCTGGGTAGCTGAGAGCAGCAATCGATCTGGGTAGCAGGAGGGGAGCAGCGATGGAAGGAGGAGGGGAGCAGTTGATGGAGGGAGGAGAGGAGAGGGACGAGGACAAAGGGAATATGGTTGAACGGGGACAAAACATCCATTCTGGCTTATTTGTTTCAGCAATTTTTTGCCACGACTTCATCATTAAGTCGTAAACAAACACCTACATGGCTTAATGAATAAGCCGCCGATGCCATTAAGTATGTAAAAAGGAAATAGCCCTTAATACTTCTTAAATTCAAGTGGTTCTTAGCGTCTGCCTGCTTTAAGGAAAAGAAAAACCATGTGTAAAAATCCAAAAATTGCATGCGGAAATTGGTGGTGTTCTTGGTTTTTATTTTGTCGCCAGAGTGTTTTCAGTATTTATGTTTCCATTATTTCAATAAATGTTCCTACTGGAAATTTGTCTTTACGTTTCTGTTTTTAGTTGTTCCTTACAGTGATCTTGTGTTTTTGGAAACCTAACAGGTGTTGGAGTCTCATCAGTCTACCAAGTTGGACACATCTGGAACAGCAAAGGCTGTCATTTCATGTTTTCAGAAACTGGGAGTCTCCTTCGACTTAGATGAGGTGTGTCAACAACATTTCATGCTAAAAAAGGAAAAACAATCATAATTACAAATTTAATGTCATTGTATGTACAATGACTGCCTTGGTTAAGGCATATATGCTGCATACTTGTCTTGACAAATATACGTCTTCGTGGTTTTTGTTAGTAATTTGCATACTTCTTATTTGAGAAATAACTTCTGTAACAACCGTACTTGACACTTCGTGTGAAAACAACCATTGTGCTTGGTAAAATCCCAAAATAATTTGTACTTGCAAAACTTCACATTTTTTAGCCAAATATATTGGTTTTTTCTTTCGAAAGCTAAACTTATGAACAACGGTTACAAATATTCATTCTGAAAGTACTACAATGATTGTTTTGACACAGAGTCAAGTACATTGGTTGCACAAGTAATTCACTCTTTTATGTTTGTTATGTCACGAGGGCTTATTATCATATTCTGGATTGAACATAAAACACATTTGGCACTTCTTTTGGACCAGAAATACATGTTTCCATGAAATAACACCAAGAACTAGTTTTCTTTTATTTTGATACACCTTGTATCCAAGCATCACGTATTCCCTTCCGAATTAAGTGTTGACTTCAAAGATCTTTCAACTTGGTACCAGGTACAATTGATACGAGATCCAAAACAACAGATTGAAATGGTTGGTGTTCCAGAGGAGCACCTTAATGGCCATGCATTCCATATGTACCATCTCACATCCCCTGATGGAACGTAAGCTCTTGACTTATCTTTGAATCTTTCTTAAAAAGCAATCTAATACTGTTTTCCTATCTGTAGAGTTTCTTTCGAGTTTCAGCACAACGTTTGTGGGAGATCTATTTATGCAGAGGGTGCCATTGATGCTGCACTTTTTCTTGCTAAGAAGGTGCTACTTTTCTCTGCTAAATAAATACAATAACAAAAAGTTTGTAGCAAAAATACTCTTAAACAATACCCTTTTTCAATATAAGAGCACATCCAACAAAAATGTCCAAAATAAAGAAAATAGAGATTTTGGAGATAATTTATTTATTTATAAAAGGCTAGAACTTCTCCGGGATGTCAAAGACCATAAAATACCAACCTATGCCCCAACGTAATCCCCAAATATAGAGAACAGAACATTCTTCATATATGAATAATATAATTATATATTTCAAAATGGAGAAACTATGCGAGTAAGATGTAATTTTCTTTAGGAGATTTTGACTTTTGCTTGTTTATTTTTGAGAATTTATAGAGCAAACAGTTGAAGATCTTTTTAAGAGAGAAGGCAAAGGGAAATGCTTATGGCAGGGTACTTGTAATCTAATCTTGTGAAACTATTTTCAAATGTAGATCCAATCAAAAGCAGATAAGAAGATATATGACATGATTGATGTCTTGCGCGAAGGTAGCATGCGTTGAACGATGATATTTGGAGTATTAGCATACATGAGATTTAGTCAAAAATATGGATCCGTTTGGTAGCTCTGATCAAACACGAAGTCTGTAAGTGGAAGTCAATCATCCTATTTTGTGTTTACAGTTATTGTTTAGGCCTCTGCTTCAAATGCTTTTATCAGTTTCCTTAAGAAACCTGAGTCTGAGATTTTTGCTCATTGTTTCTAAATGAGAAGGGAATTTTGCCATATTTTACTTTCTACATGCAGGAAGATGAAACCAGTGGCATTGTAACCAACATTTTGTGGATTTATGATGACTTCTTTTGGTTACTATCTTGGAGATGAATGAATGTCTGCAAGCCTGTTAAGGCTCTTCCACCCTTTTTGAGTTTTTCTGAATAAGTGAAGTATGTTTGGCATTTTGATCGTTATCGAACCAAAAAATTCTGTAAATTCCCGTGAAGTGGGGTGTGGAGATGGTAAGATGCAAGAATAAAAAGGTTTCAGTGAAGTGTTGTTATTACAAGTAACTAAAGCATTTCAAAAGAGGATCCATGATGAGAAACATCATCATTGATGACATTGTTTTTCATTCCAAAAAATTGTGCAAATTTAGGCCAAAACATCCCAAATTCTTTTTGCAGTGAAGCCAGTTTAACTTGGAGGCGGTGATTTAGTAGCAGTGGGTGGTAAGGTGGCTTTGTTACCTATTTCATTAGGAATCGTAAATTTTTTGGTACATCACATTCATGCATTTACAAATTACAATTCATGTGATGGTATTGATACTTTTGAAAGGTGTACTATTTGTTCGTAGTTCTCGTTTGATATCGGATAAAGCAAATCTTGGTTTTCGTTTTCCTTCTGATGGGGTTGGGGGGGATATGTCAAGTATCTGCTTGGGACCATGTCTTCTTAGGACTATTCTAGATGTACAATGCAATTTCAGTAGTCATTTTAATTTCAATAGGAAAATGCAATCAGGTGTTTGGAGAAGTATAAGCAGTCAAGGAGTAGCAATTCATATCACGGGAGGAAACTTTGCACAAAGTTTTATTACTATTAATGGGTTGCTGAACAAGAGTATCAATAATGAATCAACAAACATCATAATTAGAAGTAAATTATAGATTTGGTCCACAAAGTTTTATTACTATTAATGGGTTGCTGAACAAGAGTATCAATAATGAATCAACAAACATCATAATTAGAAGTAAATTATAGATTTGGTCCACAAAGTTTTATTACTATTAATGGGTTGCTGAACAAGAGTATCAATAATGAATCAACAAACATCATAATTAGAAGTAAATTATAGATTTGGTCCATGTGGTTTTAAATTTGGTCCCTATAATTTGTTTATTCTAAGATAACCTCTAGAGTTTGCATTTTTATAACGTTTTGGTCCTTGTCACTAGTTGATGTTAAATTTCATTCGTTAGGTAAGGTGCATTTTCGTCTTTTTTTATTTTACTGTTTTACTATTTCCTTTTTGTCTTTTATAACAATAACCCCCAACCCCTCTAAACAAACGTAGAGCCTCATCGAGATTCTGAGGAAAGTAATCTTCAAAAATAATTAATTTACCCTTTTAGCCTTAAAACTAATTTTCTTTTACCAAATTACCATTCATTACCCTGTTAAGTGTTAACACCTTTAGATGCATACAGAGGCTAAATTGCAAATGAAAAAGTTGTGATAATAAAAATAAATTAATTAATTAAGCTGGTGGGTCCCCTCTTACACACTGCACACTGGCCGGTATGTAAGGGCCTCACGCGGTTTTTATTCTAAAAATATTTTTTAATTTTTTTAAAAAAAATATAATTTTTTTGTTAGAAAATATTTTTTTAAATTTCTTTATTGTTATAAATTTTATTTTTTGTTTAGAACTTTTTTTTTTTTAATTTTAATTTTTTTCATTATTTTAATTTTTTTTATAAAATATAACTTTTTTGGTTAAGAATTTTTTTTAAAAATTTTAATATTGAATTTCTTCTTTCACAACACAACTTTATTCAAAATTTCTTCTTTAGAATTTTAATTTTTTTTAAAAATTTAATCTTTTTAGAAATTTAATATTTTTAAGAAATTTATTTTTTTAATTTTATTATTTCATTGAAAATTTTTTTTTTTAGAAAAATTTTCAATACAACACTATTTATTTTTCTCCTTCCCAATAAAATACTATTTATTTTCCTCATTTCCAATACAAAACACTGTTCAAATTTGTTTTTTTTCTTCCTCAACCTCACTATATAAACATGTCAAATTTCATACTACCAACATAAAACCAACACTTAAAAAAAAACAGTATATATATATCCGAAATTGAGAAAAAAAATTATCTTCTGCAAAATCTGAAGGTTCGTGACAGTTAGTCAACGACGTGGTAGATTATATTCCAAAAATGAAAAAAGTTGTATTGTTGCAGATACATTAACAATTTTAGGTTTGGTCAATTATTTAGTTAAAAAATTAAATTTGTCTGATTTCTAAAAAAAATTAAAATTTTAAAATCAAAATTAAGTTAAAAAAATTAATTAAAAAAAACGGATCTTCAAGAAAAACCTAATTTTTTTAAGGAAAAAATTTAAATTTAAATAATGTTGTATTAGAAAGAAAGAAATTAAATAGTGTTGTATTTGGAAGAAGGAAAATAATTAATGTCTCGTATTGAACAAATTTTTAAACAAAAATTAATTTTCCTAAAATGAAATCGGATCTTTAAATTTTTTAAGAAAAGTTAAATTTAAAAAAAATCTAAAATAAAAATAAAAATTAAGTTTAAA